CCTCCATGCCCCGCGCCCCTAGCCCCGCAGCATGGCCCGCGCCGCAGGTGCCTCTCCTCGCCGCCGCCGCCGCCGCCTCCTCTGGCCCCGGGACGCTCGCCTAGGGGCGGGCCGCTGCCGCCCCGCCCCGGTCTCCAAGCGAGGGCGGGCCGGAGGCCGGAAAGCGCCTCTCCGGGCCTCACAGCGGGCGGCTTCCAAGGCGCTCTGCACGCGCTCAGAGGCCCCGCGCGCCCCAGGTCCGCGCAGCGGCAGAGTGGGGGGGGGCAAACCCGGGGGGGGCAATAACCCCAGCCCTACAGGAGCCTTTCCCACCTGTAACTTCCAGACACCCCCGGAAATTCTTGCTCCCCCTCCAAGAGCTGGAACAGCAGCCCAGCAGGGACCCTGCGGTGGCCACCCTCGCTTCCCCCCCCCCCCTCCCCTCTGGAGGCAGCCCAGCTCCCACACCTTCCTTGCAATCTGGCCCCCATCGGATCTCGCCCCTGGCATTCCTCTGTGCAGTCACAGAAACCAGCTGGGCCAGTTCTGGGGCCAGGCCCCATGCTTGGCTCGCTCTCTGCCCCTGCCCACTCCAGCCTCAGAGCCGAGAGGGCAGCACTGGAACCCCCGGGGGTGGGGGGCACTTTGCCTTCGCTCACGGACCCGTGGCACTGCCCACAGCGGAGCCAACCAGCGGTGTGGCACAGGAAACACCTTACCCCCTCCCCAGGCAGAGGGGCAGAAGTGCGTGTATGGGCAACCACTGAAAAGCAGACCCTCACTCCTCAGTCGGGCGGGGCGCTCCAGGGTCTCCGCTCTTTTCTGTCCCCTACTGTCTGGTCCTTTTCCACACCGCCCCCCCCCCCCCCCCCCCCCTGGGGGTGGGGCGGGGGGGGGGGGGAAGGCCTGGCAAACTTATTTCTGATCCATCTCGCAAATACTTACAGAGGCCTGCCAGGCGCCCAGTCCTCTAGCCTCCCCTGCTGCAAAACCACCCTGTCCCATCTGCCCGTAAGAAGAGAGGGCACTGCTGCGTTCGCTGTGACTCTTTTGTGAGCTATCTAGCATGGTTGAAACCTTATAAGCAATGTCTAGAAGAGAAGATTGGATTGATACCCCCCCCTTCACTACCCAGAAGAGTCTCAGAGCAGCTGACAAACTCCTTCCCCTCCCCCTCCCCACAACAGACAGACACCCTGGGAGGTGGGCGGGGCTGAGAGAGCTCTGACGGAAATGGCTCTTTTTTCAAGGACAGCTCTTGTCAGAACTACGGCTTGCCCAAGGTCATCCAGCAGGTGCAGATGGAGGAGTGGGGAATCAAACCCGGTTCTCCCAGATCAGAGTCCGCCTGCACTTCACCATGACACCAAACTGGCTCTCAAGACCCTAAGTGGACCCCCCCACACACACACACACTTAAGCACAAAGAGACCACCAGGCAAGAGGTAAAGCACTTCATTATCAAAGTTTAATTGATAAGACTGATTTGATCTTACAGAACAGAATAAGGAGGATTAATAACTGGACAAAGTGACACTTAAAAAAAAATCTCAGCAACTCAAGGGCCCGAGATTAAATCGTTTTCCCCTTGCACTTCCCTCCCCCCTGCCCCCTCCCCACCGATGGGCTTCCACAGGCGGCTTCGGGACTGGTTCTGCTGCTGAGGAAGTAGGGTTAATACAAATCCTGTGGCAGAGACCCCTCCCCCCAAATAACACACACACACACAAACCCACTCCTGCCACTCAAGAGCCTTGCTAGAGAGCCCTGAGGGGCACAGGTGTGTTGCTCAGCTGACCGACAAGCAAGGGGTCCAGGTCGAACAGGGATCGTTGGGAACGGGACTGGCTGGAAGGGGAAGGATATCCTGAAACGGAAGGCTGATTAATCCCGGCAACGTGGGGAGTCTTACTGCAGCGACAGGCACTGAACGCCCGGGCCCAGCTTGGCTGTCTCTTCAGAAACCACAGAGACTCCAGCTTGGCTGTCTCTTCAGAAACCAGAGAGTCCGGGGCCTCCAACGTGGACGGGGGTGGGTGGGTGGGTTGAAATAAGGGAGGGCTGCCTTGCAAGTTGATCTTGCAACACCCCGGCTGCTGTGCACAGGGCCGTGTGTGTGTGTGTGTGTTTGTGAGGGTTCTTTTTCTCTGCTCCAAGCCTGAGAACCAGGAAACACAAGTGAAATATGGCACCTTTGAGGAAGAGAGAGGTTGCAGGAAATCAGCCCTTGGTCCCTGGCCTGCAGAAGCCGGGAAGACAAAGGGCAGCTTGCTAACGGGAACAAGATCTGGGCAAACGGCCTGGGGTTCCCAGGCACCCACTTCAGGGCAGTTTCCCTCATGCCAGCGTTCTCTCTCTGGGCACCGAGAGGCTTCCGCCTGGAAGGGGGCCTAGAATCAGCTCAGTGACGGGGCCCGACAGCAGAGGGTGCCCCTGGGAGTTGAGGGACAGCCCCTGCTCCTACCGGCAGCCTCCAAGGGTGCTGTTCCAACAGTCAGGCCAGGGTTCGAAACACGTGGCTGCACACAACTGGCAGAGGGATGCCGGCTGCTTGGTCGTACACCTCCCGCTTGCTCAGAATCCTAAAACAACCTCAGTCTAGGGACGAGCCACCCCCCCCATATGTATTTCCTGTTGGGGGGGGGAGGGGAAGCACACATGCTCTTTAAATGGGACGCGCACGCAAGCTAGAGACCAGCTCACGGAAACCTGTTTCAGTGAGGAAGAAACGGAGGCAAAGCGGTGTTGCCTGAAGCAACCTGAAAGGGGCTGTTCTGCTGGGAACTTGGCACTCCGTCCGTGGGATGCAGAAGGCCGACTGATCTTGGCACCTGGGATGCTACAGAGGGCCCAGGGTCCTGCCCCAAGGACAGAAGACGGGGCAGGCCGAGGCCAGCGGGGGGTGGGGGGGGAAGAGAAGGAGATGCAGGCGTTTCCGAGGCTGGAAAGCACAGATGGCTCCCTGTTTCTACGGAAGCCCTTTCTCTGCTGTCGGGGTGGGGGAGACACACTCCTACCCCATCTGCTGTCTGTGGCCCCCTGAACCAGAAGGCAGCGCAGGATATCCCTCAAAGGAATGCCCACCTTCCCCCCCACAGGTCAGCCAGGGGATGCCGCTCTACGGACCCCGGAGTCCAAGAGTCGCTCAGCAAGAGGAGAATGGTGTTGCAGGGGGAGACCAGGCTTCCGTGACACCCCGCAGCTAGCTGGAAGAGCCAGTTCTTAAGAAGAGCATCGGGGCTCCAGTCCCTCTGAACCAGGCACCTCGAAAACGTCACCAGGAACAACTTTGCAGTCTGTCCTCGTCTGCTAAGAAAGAACCTTTTCTAAGCCCCGGCCTTCCGAGTCGGCTTCGAGACACACCGCGAGGGGTTTCTGGCCAGGATCCAAGGCGCACACCTTTCCCCCCTCCCCCCTCTTGTGCTACAAAAGTCCCTGGTCCAGCTGTCTGAACGCCTGCTAGGCGGCGGAAAACGCACCCCGCACAAGCCCAGAGTCACTAATTCTTTCACCTTGCTCGTTCAAGGGGGCGCCAGCTCACCTTGGGCCCCACTACCTAACTTCCTAGTTGACAGGAATCCTTCTGTTTGGCAGGCTGGAATGTCCAGGGCCTCTCAGAGATTATGGGGTGGCGCTATGGGATTTCTTGAAACACGGCTGTGCCTTGGTGAAGGCTGGGGACTCAAGAAAGTGCTGCTGGTTCCGAAGGAGAAAAAGTGATGCTTGCCCCTAGGAATTACGCCCCTAGCCCTAGACGCCGCCCCCCCAAGCAGAAATGGGAGGCCAAAAGGCGACCCGAAGCGTCAGTGCCTGAGCCGTCCCCCTTGCCGAAGGGAAGCCCACATCCCGCACTGGCACACCATTACAGGCAAAGCTCCGCCTCGAATGCGAAGCCTTCCGGCCTCCGCAGCACCTGCTTGGAACTGTCCGCAGGGCACACGGCACAACAGAGAACTCGTCTCCTCCCCCACCCCCCCTTATTTTAAGAGCTGCGTTTTGGGGGCACGGCTCCCTTGTCTGCTTTTGCCCATGCTCAGCAGGCAGCGTATTGGTGCTGAGCTTTCAACAGCCGCGTCCTGAGAGAAGGGTGGGCAAAGCGTCCTCCGTTAGGAAGGGCTTCTGCGCCACTGCCAGAGGACTGCATGGAGCAAAGGCGCGGAGGTCCATTCCTCCGGCTCTGCTTCCCGGAGAGGAAAGGGTACCCCCCGGGGCAGGTTTGGTGACTGTCACAGAAATGAAGGGTACAGAAACTGGAGCAGATGGCCTCTAGCCCCCCCGAGTGCTTTTGGTTTTCTGTCCACGCAGAGGCACGGGTAAAAACGGAGAACAGATTCTGTGTGGGGGTGGTGGGGGTGCTGCTGCACATTCCTTCCCAATCCCAAAATGTGTGTCCAGGTAAACACTATTAGGGGAGGGTCTGCTCCTCCCCCCGCCCTGAGAAAGAGGAGGGGGAGTGTTGTTTCCTCTCCAGGAAGCAGAACAGAGGAGAAGCGCAGCTCGAGAGTCAAGATGCTCTTTCCTTTCAGACAGAAGAGAGAAAGGATTTCCTTGTTCCTTCAGCTGAGTTACAACAATGCCCAAACCGGGCACTCTCCCTTCCGGAAGGGGAGCCCCCAGCACAGCCCCTGCTCGAAGGCCCCTCTCAGCTCTCACATCGAGTGGCATCCCAAATCCAGAGCTGAACAGCCCGACCTGTTAGGCACAGGTGAGATTCAGGCCTTGGAAAGAACAGGCTGTTGGCAACAGCAGCTGCTGGGGAAACCAGAGAACCTGAGATAAAACAGCGCTTGAAGGGGACTTAGTGCCGCGAAGCGAATCATGACAACGGACGGGCGGAACACACAAAACTCTCCCCCAAAAGAGTCACATGCACGGCGCCAGCAATCCCGTCAACGTTAACGCAAGTTATGGGTCAAATGCCTGATCCACTTCTCCTACTCAAGCCAAAACCACTGCAGAAACAATGGCACAAAACCAGCCCGCACAGAACTCAAGGCCACTGCAAGGACTCATGGCTGTTCGATCTCTGCGCACTTGACCCACAAGACAGCCAGACGGAAAGATGGTCAGGCACAGCCCCACGAGGAACAGGAAGGAAGAGGGCCAAGAGTCTAGTCCCTCTGTGCTGCTTTCCCAGGGTATCTCCCCGGGATTAGCCAGCACCCTCAACCTGCATCCCCCCTATCATCATGGCCAACAAAGACTCACGGCTCAGCATGGTCGCAATTCTCAGCCACGCTCGCAAGCTCAGTGAGCGTGCACACGCCAGGCTTCCAATACCAGACGTTCTTCCTCTCTCAAAACGCATCTCTGCTCTGAAGGAAACTTTTGCCCATGTTGCTTCCGCACAGGCGGAGGACCAAGGTGGTGCATCGGATACTTGTCTGCTCAGCCGAGCGGGGTGAGCACGGTAGAGCCCCCTCGAGAGGAAAAACTCTCCTTCCTGCACCCGCTCAAAACAAAGTGAGGCCCTCCCCCTGGGTGGAAGCCTCCCTCAGGAGAGAATGAGCACCCTCAGAGGTGCGGCAGAAGCCCACCGCGCCCAACATTCAGTTCCGACGCGAACGGCAACTCCACACTCTCGAGAAGGCTGCTGAATATTTGACAGTGCCACTAGCCCACATAAAGCGACATGGACAATACGCCGTTCAAAGCCAAGTCCCCTTCTTCAAACCTCCCCTGCCTTGCCATCTACCAGTTCAGAACAAGAAGTGAAAGGGAGACGAGAGGCTGGAACTGCCCGGGTGTGCCCACCGCAGAGGCGCTATGGATGCCCGGGACGGTGCCAGGTGATGGCCGCATGCGGAGAACGCTGGGCACTGAAAGCAGAGGTCCCCGACCCGAGATTCGGCTCAGCTGCAAAGAGGGGCCCAGACTGTAACAGAGATAGGGAAAAAGTGCTCCATAAGGCACGGCCCCCCACTACAGATGTGCCGGGGGGGGCGTAAGAAGAGGGAAAAGAGGGCAGAGCGCAGTCAGCGAGAGCCCACTTGGGCAGAAAGCTACCGCGTCATTATTCTCCTCGAAAATCCAGACGCTCAAAACTTCCCTGCGGAGGAGCTTCTGTTGAGTCCTGAAAGAAGGAGCCAAGCATCTTTGGGTTAACAGAGAGGAGGTCGCAGCCAGGAGAAGCCGCCCGGGGACTCAGGGGCCAGGGAGAGATATGGCTTATGAAAGACCCACGTTGGCATCCTTGCTGGAAAAGATTCCTTGCAGTGTTGGAAAAAGGAGAGAGCGAGCGAGCAACAAACCTATTCCTCAGGCTCCCAGTTACACAGCTCAAAAGAAACCCAAATGTTCGTAAAATGGGGAGAGCGTGAAAAGATCCGCCTCTCCTCCAAGACTGGTAGGAAATTCCTTAGCGGGGTCTCTTGTCAAAAACGACACACCAGAAGGGCTGTGCTCAGCAAACTGTATTACACACACGGGTTTGTGAATTAAGATTTATTGATTTCCATCATACTTGCTTTTTCATTTTATTTTTAAAGTGGGGTGGAAGCCGCCTGCAGAAAAAGAGGGCTGCTGCTGCTGCTGCTGCAATTTTTAAGTTAAAAATAAGCTAATGGCGAGAGATTTTCCCCACCTCTGGCGTCCTCCCGGGCCTCTCCGAGATCGTGCTGATTTTAAGAAGTTCCAGGACAACAACCCACATCCACCAGGCCTCTCCCAGCAAGTGTCCTTTCGGTTCGAGTCAGTCTCCAGTGCCAGAGGTGAGCGTGCCTTCAAAAATACTGCCATTTCCCCAGCACCGTGTCTTTGATTGCGTCGACGAATTGAGTCGGGACCCAGTAGACCCAGTAGTAAGAGGCTTCGGTGGGACCCAGCTGGAAGGCCTGGAGGGGCGGGAAGAGGAGGAGGCAGCTCAGCATCTAAGCCCTTCGGGGCGGGGGTGGGTGGGCGGGTGGGGGAACCACTCAATCCGCACCAGTTCAGACTTATCTGCAACCAGTGCTCCCTCTAAGCTGTGGAGTCTCGTGAGCAAAAATTCTCCTTTGTGAGCTACGGGCATTAAAGTTGTAAGCCAGCGATTTGGCTACTGCATAAATTAAGTTTGCTCTGGAGCCGTCCTTCCAGAGCTGAGACAAAAAATGTGTGAGCGGGAGGCTGAAAAACCGTGAGCTAGCTCACACTAACTCAGCTTGGAGGGAACACTGTCTGGAACGGCTCTTCCTCCTTCAGGATACTTGCCACCAATGTCCCCTCTAAGCTGTGGAGTCCTGTGAGCAAAAATTCTATTCTGTGAGCTACGGGCATTAAAGTTGTGAGCCAGCGATTTGGCTACTGCATGAATTAGTTTGCTCTGGAACACTGCTTGCTGGCTAGTGGGAGAAGCTCCACCACCAAAAACACCCTTCCTCCAACCCCTCTTTCCACCCACTTGGCCTCTGCTGACAGGGGTCTGAGGTTAGGCAGAGGTCAAAAGGAGGACCCCATTTCTTCTCTAGGAAGGAGGGAAGGAAAAGACCAGGCTCCCATGAACGTGAGCTTGCCGGTTAGATGCAAGAAGTCACCATCCGCACTCAGCACCCACCCACCCGTCCCACGCAGCGTCATCCTGCGAAAGCTCTTACCATCATGTGATATTCTTCGTGTCCTTCAATAGGTTCGCTCACCACATTCTTGATGGACCCCATGGGCAGTTTTTCTGTTCTCTCTAGATGCAAATAGTTCAGTTTATTTAAAGTTTAGTAGCCCATAGGCCATACACCATTTAAAAAAATATATTTACGAATTTAAAAGAACAGTAGAACAGAAATTTGCCACACCCATGATGCAATTTTGGCAGAGGCTGCTCAGTAGTAGTCTTAATCTTGATGCATCGTGAAAAGATGGAACATTTCGACAGCCGTTTCCCTAAGAATCTTTCTCTTGCCGCTGCACATTTTGGACAGTAGAAGAAAACATGACATGCCAAGTCCAGTTCTGTCAAAGGGCAGTCAGAATAGCGCTGGTCTTGAGAAAGCGCCCCTTCACCTGGGCTGTTGGAAACGCATTGCAGCGTGCAATCGTGTACGGCCGCCTCAATTTTGGAATGGCCAACATGTTTAAGTAGAGAGGCGGGTCAAATTTAGTGGAATGTTTTGTAATTGCGTTGATTTGTTTAACAACATCCAATGCACACCAGAAGTAGCTTTGCTTAACTTATGGGATAACGCAATCACAGGGGCCACCAAAGAATTAACAGCAATTCTATTGGCAATGGCCAGGTTGACGATTGCGGCGGCTTGGAAATCGCCCGCTCCACCCACAATATCAGACTGGCAAGAGAAGATTTGGGAGCAATTTATAATGGCCAAAATCACAGATTCCATTCGTAGAACACATAATCCTTCTACGCCAACCTATTCTAAATTTTTACATATATGGGCTCCGGCACTTGAATACCTGACATTACAGAACCTACTCCCACAAAAACAAACATATCAGAGATGGCTACATCTCTAAGGCACGATAGACAATAGGTGAGCTAGGTGGAATAGACAGGTTTACTTGAACATTCAATAAAACAGGCTGAATACACGTTAAAAAGCCTAACCAAATCACACAGAGAGTAAAATAATTATATCCACAGGCTAGGAAGGTGGGAATTTTTGATTTAACAACAATATAATAAGATGTCTTTTACTGCACTGTTCAATTTGCTTTTTTATGTCGGATGTAACATGCTGTGTATTGTAAGAAATTGATCAATAAAGCTTAAAAAAAATAATTAGTGGAATGTTTAATTCCTAGATGAAGTGGGGAGCATTTTCATCATCTAGCATCTAGCATGCAAATAGGAAGGCTCGTTGTTTCGACTGCCTGCCGCTGCAGAGGCTTCCGTCGCCACTCCCACCCCCCACCCCCTTCCAGAACCAGGGGAAAGAGAAGGGGGGCCCCCAAGACACCACCAGCGCCAACTCATGCGCTGAGCCGTAGAGAGCAGAACGGAGACGTAAAGGCTCGGCGTGCCCCAGAGTTCGTTGTTGCTGCTCCGACTCCATCCAGTTTCTCCAGTGAGGAAACAAAGTGCCTGGAACTGGGAACGGACAGGCCAGGGCCGCCGACCACCCTGATCAGCTCCTCTGGCTGCAAACAGGCAGGATGCTACCCGGCTGCCGTGTTTCCCCCCAAACTAAACTGCAGCAGGGCTGCAACTAACTGCTCTCCCTAGAGCAGGGATCCGCCCCCTTCTCACTAGCCTGTGGCCGAGAACTGTCCCAGCCCCACCCCAAAATACCCCTTGTGTGGCAATGGCCCCTGTACAGCAAGGCGTAAGCACTGGCAGTGCCTCAAATACATTTTAAGGTAAAGGTTCCCTTGCTCAAAAGCCAGTCGAATCCGACTCTAGGGTTGCGGTGCTCATCTCCGTTTCAAAGCCGAAGAGCCAGCGCTCCGTGGTCATGTGGCCGGCATGACTAAACAAGAAGGTGCACGGAACGCTGTTACCTTCCCACTGGAGTGGTACCTATTTATGTACTTGCAATTTCTTGCTTTTGAACTGCTAGGTTGGCAGGAGCTGGAACTAGAGACGGGAGCTCACTCCGTCATGCGGCGCACCCGGGTCTCGAACTGCTGAACTACCGACCTTCCACAGCCTGCAGTTCAGCATCTTAACCACTTGAGCCACCGTAGCGCCTCAAATACATTTTACCAATGTACAAACAAACCAAAGCCCAAATGGCTGCATCCACTCCCAATACCCAGATGACCAGTGCATTTGGTTTCCTAAGCTGCATGTGCCTTATTGCACGCTTCCACGTATTGCTCAAATTACAAACAAGCACAAAACAACAACAACACCACCCCTGGAAGGGGGTAAAATGGGCGGCACCTGTTCTCTTCCAAAGACATGCTTCTAGGGTGTAAACTACGGGGGTGCCAACCTTTAAAATAATTATTTTACTAAACTTATACCCCGTCCTTTTAGACCATCAAGGAAGCTAACAAATTAAAACGAAGAAGAAGAGGAGGAGGAGGAGGATTGCTTGAAGTGACTTAAGAAGAAGAAGAAGAAGAAGAGATCGGATTTATATCCTGCCCTTCGCTAGCCAAAGGAGTCTCAGAGCAGCTGACAAACTCCTCTCCCTTCCCCTCCCCACGACAGACGCCCTGTGAGGCAGGTGGGGGCTGAGAGAGCTCTGACAGAAACTGCTCTCTTTCAAGAAAAGCTGTGCCAGAACTATGGCTTGCCCAAGGTCATCCAGCATCTGCAAGTGGAGGAGGAGTGGGGAATCAAACCCGGTTCTCCCAGATTAGAGTCTGCGCACTTAAGCACTACACCAAACATACGTCATAAAATCCACATCTTAAAAACCATTACCTTTAGTACCAATCCAGAGCTGATCTTGTTCGAGTTTAAAGGTGAGCCGCACTTTCCCGCCAGACTTGTTATACATCCCCGACAGAGGAACGGTTGGCAGGCGCTCCTGAAGAGGAGGAAAAACACAAAGCTTTTGTTTCAGCAGAAGAGCGGAAAGCGCTCTCTGTGTATGCAAGAGGAAGAAGAGTTTCAGGGACCGCCTTAGGCCCTTACCTGCCTTGAGAACAACAACGCTTACTTGCTCACCTGTGCACCTTTGACTGAAGGCATCACGTCATCTGGCTTGCCTTTATCCAACACTTTCCTATGTTGCTGTGACAAAGCAGAAATCACAGGTGAGTCAACATGACAGAAGCCCAGAAGGATTCCCCTTCTGCCCATTTGCTAGCTCTTCCAAAGGCTAGGCAGACGCAGAATAAGAAAGCAGCTTATTATGAATCATGCTTCTGTAAAATAATCCAAACAACCTGGATGCTGCATAGAAAATACACAAGCCTACCAAAACCAGACTGGTAATTTCCCTTTCGCTGTATCTGAAGTGTGCGGACATGCAAAAGCTTATACCTTGAATAAAACTTTGTTGGTCTTAAAGGTGCCACTGGGCGCAAGCTTTGTTCCCCCCCCCCCCATTAGTGTCTTGGTAGTACAGAATTAAAACACGTTCCGTACAATTTTGGCTAAAGTTTCACACATGTTAAGCGTGCAGCTTTTATAAACAGTAACTCAAGGTCCAACCTTGCAACAGACAACAGACACAGCACCCATGAGAGAAAAAAATTCATTTACAAATTAATAATTGTGCACAAATATCAGTGCAAATTTCAGGAAAACATAAATGTTGAACTGAAATCCAAGCGTACAATTGGCCCAATTATTAACAGAATTGTCTAATTGAAAATGTCAAAAGGAGTAATATTCAGCTTCAAAAGTGATAACATAAGAACATAAGAGACGCCAATGTTGGATCAGGCCAAAGGCCCAACCAGTCCAACACTCTGTCACATAGTGGCCAAAAATACCAGGTGCCATCAGGAGGTCCACCAGTATATGTATATATTGTTCAATTATGACTACAACTAGGCAAGCATACAAAGGTAAAGGTAAAGGTTCCCTTGCTCGAAAGCCAGTTGAATCCGACTCTAGGGTTGCGGTGCTCATCTCCGTTTCAAAGCCGAAGAGCCAGCACTGTCCGAAGACGTTTCCGTGGTCATGCGGCCGGCATGACAGAACGCTGTTACCTTCCCACCAAAGCGGTACCTATTTATCTCCTTGCAATTTCTTGCTTTCAAACTGCTAGGTTGGCAGGAGCTGGACCTAGAGACGGGCGCTCACTCTGTCATCTACAAAACCACCTGTCCTCCTATGCTCTACCGCAACAGCCTTGTTCGTCTGACCGGGGCCTTTCGGGGGGGGGGGGCAACTCTAAGCTGTGGAGTCTTGTGAGCAAAAATTCTACTTTGTGAGCCGGAGGTTAAAAAATTGTGAGTTAGCTCACACTAACTCAGCTTAGAGGGAACACTGGGTGGGACCACCTTTAAAAAATGCAAGATCAACAACTGCCGATACACATGCATCGTCTCTGTTGAGGCCCTGCTTTCTAGAATGGACTGTCTGAGGAGATGAGGAGGGCTCCCACCATACTATCTGCAAACAATGCAAAACAAAATTGCTCCAGAAAACATTTCTATAGACATAATAGGGCAACAGAATGATTCTGGAAGATCGAGTTTTTGTTTGTTTGTTTACAAAGAATGGGACGGTGGACTAGACCACTATGTATAGCATGCATTATCTCTTTGCTCTATGTACTATACGCTTCCTCCGCATTGTCTCTTACTTAAGTGATACCGTTTTCTTCATTAACGTATATGCTTTGCTTTAAATTTCTGCAATCGTCGTTTAATTACACAGTTTATTGGTTTCAGGGAGTAGCCGTGCTGGTCTGCACCAGAGCCGTTAAATTTGAGTCCAAGTAGCACCTCCGAGACCAGTAAGAGTTCCAGGATATGACCGCCTGAGAATCTGTTGAAGGGAACTCTTGACTCTCAAAAGATTGCTGTTATTGGTCTCTAGCGTGCCAATGGACGCAAACCCGACAATTTATTGGAGATCACATCCTACTGATTGCATTGACTTTTGCTGCATAATCCACCTTGAGTCTCAGGGGGAAAAGCAGCTGACACATAAACCGAATAAAGGGGACAGCCTGAGGCTCAGTGGAAGAGGTCCATCAGTGGCTATTAGCTACAAGGTATAAATAGGGACTCTGGGGCAAGTGATACTCTCTCATCTTGGTGCTTGGGGGGGGGGGACAACAGTGGGAGGGCTTCTAATGTCCTGGCCCCACTGGTGGACCTCCTGATGGCACCTGGTATTTCTGGCTACTGTGTGACACAGAGTGTTGGACTGGATGGGCCTTTGGCCTGATCCAACATTGGCATCTCTTATGTTCTAACACCTGTTCTGCATGCACAAAATCCCACCGGCTCAAGCTGAAAGGTATCAGGCGGTAAGTGACGCGAAAGGTCTCTGTCTGAACCCCTGGAAATAACACTGACCTTGAAAGAGGAGCGGCCTGACATGACACAAAGCCTCATGTTTAAAACAAGGAATCAAATAACGTTGAGGCTCACTACGTAGAGTGCTCCAGCAAGGCCCGCTGGGTTACAAGCTAACATTTCAGTCAAGGAGGCAAGTTTCAAGCTCACCAAACTGTCAACTGTTACCTACATCTCTTAGACCAGAACCGGGTAGGCTAACAGCCACCGCTCACCTTTTGCCTGCAGAGGGGCTCCTTTTTGGTCTCTTCCGACTTCACCTCCTGCTGTGCGGCGTCCTTCGGTATGCTGACCGCCAAGACGTCGTTGATGGTGGAACCCACCACCATGATTTTGGAGCCGTTGATGACTTTGATTTCCCGCAGCGTCTTCTCCTCTGGCAAAAGCCCTTTGAACATGACTTTTTGCATCGTGGGAGGAAGGCCTGCACCAGGAGAAATCCAACAAAAACTGCTTTTAGCCCGGATGAGGTTTTTTCCACTGCTGCAGGAAGTGGTGGGGCTGCTACAAGCATACACAGATTTTAAAAGGGATCGGATAAACATCTGGAGCAGAGGACCTTGAGTGGCTATTTGCCACCTTGTACAGATGGAACACTCTGTCGGGGGCAGTGATGCTCTGACTTCTTGGTGCTTTTGGGGGGGCAAGAGTAGGAGGACTCCTAGAGTTCTGGCCCTGCTGGGGGACCTCCAGATGGCATCTGGTTTTTGGCCACTGTATGACACAGAGTGTTGTACTGGATGGGCCATTAGCATGATCCAACAGGGCTTATGTTCTTATGTCTGGGGCAGCGATGCTCTGTATCCTTGGTGCTGAAGGAGCAAGAGTGTGAGGGGTTCTGGCCCCGCTGGTGGACCTCCTGATGGCACCTGGGTTTTGGCCACTGTGTGACACAGAGTGTTGTACTGGATGGGCCATTGGCCAGATCCAACCTGGCTTCTCTTATGTTCTTACGTCTGGGGCATAAGAACATAAGAGATGCCAATGTTGGATCAGGCCAAAGGCCCATCCAGTCCAACACTCTGTGTCACACAGTAGCCAGAAATACCAGGTGCCATCAGGAGGTCCACCAGTGGGGCCAGGACATTAGAAGCCCTCCCACTGTTGTCCCCTCCCCCCAAGCACCAAGATGAGAGAGTATTTGAAGCTGTCCATGCTTGTAGCACCCACCACTTCCTGTGGCAGTGAATTCCATGTGTTAATCACTCTTTGGGTGAAGAAGTACTTCCTTTTATCCGTTCTAACCTGACCGCTCTGCAGTTTCATGGAGTGCCCACGAGTTCTTGTATTGTGAGAAAGGGAGAAAAGTACCTCTTTCTTTACCTGCTCTTTCCCATGCATAATCTTATAAACCTCGATCATGTCACCCCTCAGTCGTCTTTTCTCCAAGCTAAAGAGCCCTAAGCGCTTTAACCTTTCCTCATAGGGAAAGTGTTCCAACCCTTTTATCATTCGAGTTGCCCTTTTCTGCACTTTTTCCAAAGCTATAATATCCTTTTTAAGGTGTGGGGACCAGAACTGCACACAGTATTCCAAATGAGGTCTCACCATTGATTTATATAGGGGCATTATGATATTGGCTGATCTGTTTTCAATGATGCTCTGTCTGCTGGGGGAGGTCAAGAGTGGGGGGGCTTCTGAGGTTCTGGCCTCACTGACGCCCCCTGGGTGACACAGAGCACTGGACTGGGCTGGCTACTGGCTTGACCCGACAGGGCTCCTCTCATGCTCTAAAAAAGGCAGGGGTGTGTTGGGGGTGGGGGTAGTGGGGACCACTATTCCCTCTAAGCTGAGTTAGTGTGAGCTAGCTCAGAGTTTTTTAGCCTCCGGCTCAGGCATTTTTGTCTCCGCTCAGGAAGGACCACTCCAGAGCAAACTGATTTATGCAGTAGCCAAATTAGCTTGCTTACAACTTTAATGCCAGTGGCTCACAAAACAGGATTTCGGCTCACAAGACTCCACTGCTTAAAGGGAGCATTGGTTGGAACTTCTTAGATGCGCCCCCCCCCCCCAACACACCACAACACACAAAACACAC